AAAAACAATATTTTCTCGTCATTCAGAGGAAACAGAGATTTTCAAGTAACGGCATTAGGATTGTATAATGGTGATATTTCTATAAATCATGTGAATGTTAAATTCAAACAAAAGAGAATGACATTTCCAATTTCATATAATTAAGATATCTTTGAAAATGAAAAAATGTCCTTTGCGTGACTCAAACAATTCCAAAGTTACAAAATGTCTTAAGCTCGAACGAGTGTGGACACATGTACGTAAAGTTAATAATTAATTTAACGAACGTTGCTTGATCTCGTCATTCTTCGTGATAGCGTTTCACCCCTGTGTGTTGGCGTGAATGCGAAGGAAAGAAGAAGATCGCGGTTTCCGATGAGAAACACAAGAGGACAGAAGAGAAAAATGACATGGAAGGAAAGGGATCAAAGAGAAGGGATGAGATCGAACGAATACAGTGGGAGGACTGCATGTAGATCGTAAAACGGAGGATGATGACCTCCCCTGAGTTACAAAGCATCTGCTAAATAAATGATACGCCAGTTGTCGTAAGTCTAGTTGTCCTCAGCTTCAGACGAAGACGAGTTGGCTCTAGGATCACGTTACTGGCTATCGTCATAGTTGCTCATGGGGCCGAAGGCCCTTCGGTTAGCCGCGGCGTTCGCCGTCATCCAACTTCTTTTGCCGCAGGTTCATTCCATACGGACCAAACTCAGGAAACAACGGTCCAAGCCGCTGCAAGCTCAACAAGCCGCCAATGGTGAATACGATTACGACTATTACGAGGGTTACGATGACTACGATGATAGAAATGGTGAATATTATACTTAAACTTATTTTTTCTACCCTTCTTATAATATATATACAAGCTATATTTACGTGGATAGGACAGAATTGTACATCGAGCTATATCTATGTTAACTTGCAAATACTTAACACAATTTATTCGAATTAATTTAATCACTTTAGCAAGTGCAATAACTGCATCGTGCGTACCACTTTTTATTCATTAAATCAGAGAGCATGTATTTTAATTGATCTGTTTTAACGGAGTTATTATCATAGAACGTATAGTTTGAAAAATGCTATAATTCTAAGAATACGATAAATGTGAAATTGATCTTTGGGTATGTTGTTCTAATTCCTTTCAGAGTTCGTTTTTATATGAAGTCAAACATCACGGCGATGAAAATAAGAATATTATGGTGCGCATAAGTATCGCTTACTTTTTAACAAACATACGAGTACAATACGATTCACGGTGGATTCAACTTGCAAATGGTTTCTTCTTGTTTCGAAATTATGTCTCGCAAAATGAGCAGCGAAGTTTTCTTTGGATAAAGAACTTATTTCCCGCAACAGATACGATTTGCTAATTTGATGTCAGCTGTTATCTTTTACATTTATGAGTTTTATAAATGATCAACCTTAAGGAGCAAGATGATGCTATAGAAAAGAACGCGAAAGTTTATTCGTTTAATGTAATTCGTTATATTATCCGTTCCCTTAATTCTACCATTTTCAATCGTAATAGTGAAATATAGAAAAATTGATTTCTTAATGATCTCTGTCGCTTGTTTTTAATATACGTACATACATGTATTGTAATTAATGTAGAAGTGAATCTTTCTATGTGATATTTATGGGAATGAAATTAACATCTGTATTGACATCTGACACCTACAAATCTTTGCTCGATGAATTCGAAGCGACGCTATAAAGCTACGTATAAAAGCTAAAGTGCGTTCCTCGCACTGTCTGCATGTAGATTACATAGTTAAAACTGCGAGGCACCTTTGATCTCGTCAAAAAACCGACAATCCTTAGCAGTCTCGCGAGTCTGCCTCACACTGTCTCTATGTAGTTTAATGTCTAATCGCCCGACAAGTCCATATGATTCTTTATTTGCCAGAGACTTACGTTTTATCTTCTACGTAAATTATTTCAGCATCATGATCCTGAAAAGTAAAATCCGATTTATATGAACATGCAAATTCAAGCAAAGTTAATGTTAATGTAAAGTGAAAATTTATATAGTTCATAATTTACAATTAATAATAAAATGTAGATCATAATGTAGAGAAGCTCTTATGATTTTTCTCAAAAACTAACCAACGAGGAGAATTTATTTCATATTTTTGATTTATTTTTATACATAGAATAAATTTCTCTCTCGTTGTAACAGCTACTTTGTCATATCTTGCGGAAAATTTAATACATTTATACAATGGTAAGTGATTCCAATTTTTAGGTTTGATAAGTGTAATAATTCTGTAAACTTGTTACATCGATTTCAATTCCCTCGTGAAAACGTATAACACGTTCATTTCGTAGTATATAGAACACACACGGAAAACGACAATTCCTAATAGTGATGATTCTTATGCTGTTTTATGCTTTAGATATGCTATGAAATTACCTAACAGTTCTTCGTTATTGTAAGAGGTTATTTCCTATGTCGTTGCGAAGCAATTAAAGGAAGTATTAATAACCATGCAAGCAACACCGGAAGCTTTGGATCAGATGCTTGTTTTAGCGCTTTGCGTAATTCAATTAATCAATTACATTAACTGATAAAAATTAACAATTAAAATGTTTATTGTAGTCTATTGAGCGAAACGCATCTCGACGTATATTCCAGTCGTATTAGCTTTTTACCCATTTAACGAGTATTATAATATTTCCACTTACTGTCAAAACTGTTCGAAAATATCGAGTTGTCCGAGCATTCGTATGTCACGATTACCTGTTCGAGTCTATTTTATTCTTATTCTATAATTTTCTATTTTCTATTTTATAATATTAATATTTTATTATATACCTTATACAATATTTCTATTTTAATAATATTTGTGTTTAGAAACTACAACTACAACTGCGCCATCACCACCTGTTACGTCCAGCGTCAATACTGCAAGTACGTACAATATGTAAGAAAGCACCTGTAACGAGATACATATAGAAACATGCGTTGTATAAAAGTAACTAAGAAAAGGAATCATATATGACTGAATTTTCATAGAAGAATAGGAAATTGTTTAGAATAGATAGCGATGAAATTGTGTATGGTTATAAAAAGTAACAAATTAAATATTAACGAAAGATTACGATATAACGCCGATAAGAAATAGTGACAAAACATTAACTACGTCATTTATATTATGTTATCTTAAGGCAGGGGTGAATTACCGACAGAGACATTGCAAACTTTCTACAGACCTGGACTGTCTACAGATGTACCAACGCAAGCGACAATTAGAACTTTCAGTCAAGGTATTTGATACTTTAATATGCGTATAATTTATCGACTGTAAATTCATAGTAAATATTATGTGCTGTCAAGTAATGATTATATTTTGTACTATCATTTTGTACGAAATGTTGGCATCTGTAAGAGTCAAAAATACGAATTTTCGTAAGAATCCGCAAGCTATTGATAATTTTTATCGTACTGTACATGATTCGTTTGTAATAACTCTTCATGCGCTAACAAGCATTATGCTTTCAACAAACTTTGCTTTTAACTAACAATGATATACTGTGTCATTGGATATCAAACATATTTCTTATTATGTATCCATGATAGATGATTAAATAGATGTAATCATGTAGCTAATATTTTTTTAAACACTGATTCATTTGGAATGTCGTAGTCGGTATATTACCAAACGAAGTGCAAACAACACCAGAACAAAATCATGCAGTAAGTATGAAATTTAAAACATACTATGACGTTGTGGATATATATAATAATAAATGTAATTTATTTATATCGCTAGTCACCGACAGAGATTGTTCCTGGTGAAAGTAACGTGATTAGCGCGGTTGCTGTTCCTGGACCCAGGGTAAATATTATTAAAAAAACATACATATTTTACATTTGTAATCGATATATCGTCAATGGCACATATGTATATATTTTGTCATTAGACTGTGAACTCTTCATAAAATCTTTTGTGAAAAATGGGACGTAACAATATGCAATGTTCCAATAATAATTTTTATCGTCTTCATAAATTAGGGCGAGCCTGGTCGACCTGGAGATATGGGTCGTCCAGGAGATGCTGGATTTCCAGGACACCCTGGATCTCCGGGAATTCCGGGACCTCCGGGGCCACCAGGGCCTATACCTGACGTAAGTAGCGTCATTAACATTTATTTCTATCTAAAATTTATTATTTGAATCTGATTATTATTAATGTATAAATTTATGATTAATACAGATAGTATAAATATTTAATATAGATTATTAACAAAATGATGTTGAATATTGCAACGTACATAGCAGTGAATTATCGCTGCTGGTGTCAACATTTCTAATACTCTAGCGAATATTAGATTTAAACTAAATTGTTATTAACAGGTATCAATGTATTATCAACAATTAGCTTTATCTCAAGCAAATCAAGATAAAGGACCGACGGGAGCAGCAGCACCTTTGTATGGTCCAGAAGCCTACTTACAAATGCAAACTGGTCCTATTGGACCGCGTGGTCCATCAGGTCATTATACTCGTTTTATTAATTATGTATTTCTATTTTTATTGTCAATTGTTAGACGTCTATTCGATATTTTTCAAATTGTAATAGGTCCACCTGGACCACCTGGACCACAGGGTTTTCAAGGAGTACGAGGAGAACCTGGTGAACCTGGAACTTTGGGTCCTCCAGGAGCGCCAGGTCCCAGAGGATTAGCTGGTTTACCGGGAAAGGATGTATGTATACATATCGATTAAATTATTAATATTAGAGTTAGATAAAAGTATATGTTATTGTTAGGGTAATACCGGTGAAGATGGAGAACCTGGTCCTCCAGGATCGGTTGGTCCAGTCGGACCAAGAGGTCTACCAGGAATGCCTGGTCTTCCTGGTGTAAAAGGACACCGAGGTTTTCCAGGGTTAGATGGTGCAAAAGGGGAACAAGGTGTATCTGGTGAGAAAGGATCCATGGGCGTACCTGGACCGATGGGACATGTAGGCCCGATGGTAAATATTAAATATTCATATTCACATAAATAAAACTAAATTTTGTAAATTGTAATCATATATTTTAATTATATAAAAACAATAATTTATTAGATGTTTAATAATTAAATAGGGCCCTGCAGGTCCACGTGGTGAAAGAGGTAGAGAAGGTCCTCCTGGACCTCCAGGAATTAGAGGAGTGGATGGTATTGCTGGGCCCCCTGGTCAACCTGTAAGTAGAATAATAAAGATTACAAATATAGAGTGGTGCAAAAGAGTCGCGAAGGAGTTTGAAATAATAATAAGTTAAAATATATTTGATTTAAAATAGATTTCTTTCCAAAAAAGTAAAATATAATTCATAGAGATCTTTTTGAGCTACGTGCAAAAAACTATGATACATAAATGCCCACCATTTTAGCCTCACAAAGTTGAGTTATTTTAATAATATTTTGCATGATCTTTGTTAAAACATTTGGCATTAACTCCTGCATTTTGGTTCAAATGTTCTCCCTCGGCTGCCGAATGATTCTTTGTTTATCTACATGCACCTTCACTTTGAGATATCCCCAAAGGAAAAAATTAGGAGCTGTCGAGTGTAGCGATCGAAAGAACAATTTGAATCCTAAATTTCTGAAGATTAAGTCCCGAAAATAAAACTCTATAATGTTGAAAATGTATTTTGCCAGATGTATTTTAGAAACTCTGGAATGCAAAAAAAAAGAAAAAGAAAAAAGAGAAAATCGTCTGTATAGTATCGACTATGTATTAACAAATGTGTAACTTTTATAGGGTACGGTAGGTAAACCAGGTTCTCCTGGATTTCCAGGTAGTCCAGGTGTAAAAGGAGATCAAGGAGCACAAGGACCAAAAGGAAGCCAAGGCATACAAGGCCCTCGAGGTATATTTTCTTACATTAGATATTATTTACCATGATCAAGTAACTTGAGATAATCAACAAACTACAACATAAATAACATCATAAATAAAAATATCGTATAGTATTGTATAATTTGGAAGTAGACGACGAAATATCCTAATGGTACTTGTATACATCGCTGATAAGTGAGATTTTAGAAAACAATTTTCAATGTTGATAAATTGAAAGATGTATATAGGCTTATATCATAGTAATCAAGACTGTTAAATAAATTCGACTTTAAAATTAAATGACTGAAATTTGCATCGAAACATTGTCTACCTTTGACCTTTAAAATTATATCTTTAAGAGGTATAACATATTTCAATTCTCTTTCCTGCGTAGGTGAAACTGGTCGTCCTGGTCAACCTGGTGAATCAGGACCGCAGGGTCCCCAGGGAAAAGATGGAATACCTGGAGAAAAGGGAAGTACAGGAGCAGCTGGTTTAGTTGGTGCTCCAGGTTTCCCTGGAGCTCGCGGACAACCTGGAATACCTGGCAATCCTGGTGTTCCAGGAGCGAAGGGCATGCCTGTAAATATTGTTTTTGTATTCCTATTCTCTCATCTCTTAAACTTTCAAATTGTGTGCTTCATCTTTCTTATTGCACTATATGTATCAAAATATTATAATTCGCAGGGACTTTCAGGTGAAAGAGGATTCAAAGGTGATAGTGGAGCTAAAGGTGATTCAGGAACTCCAGGACCACGTGGTTTGCCTGGTCCTCCTGGGAACGAGGGTAAACGAGGAAAAAGAGGAATGCGCGGACCAATTGGTACATCCGGTCCTGCCGGAGAACGTGGAGCACCAGGCGCACCAGGTCTTCCGGGACCTGATGGCCCCATGGGACCCAAAGGTATGTCGTCATAAACGTCATAATTTGTCAAAATTATTATCAAAGACTCATTTTTGAAGAACATGCATTCTTAATTCTTTTTTAATTTCTGGACATGATCTTTTAAGTCTTATTTAAAACTGCTTTACAATAATGTATTAATAATTAATGTTAACATATTTATGTCAATAAAAATAATTTATATAATTTTTTACAGGTCAGTCTGGAGATCGTGGACCAATTGGACCAATGGGGCTCAGAGGAGCTAACGGAGATCCTGGTCGCCCAGGATCTCCCGGTTTACAGGTCTCTGTCCATAATTATTTTAAAAATACAGGAAAATAGCGTTTCATCAAATATTTACATTTAGAAAATTAAATAATAACGAATAAAGTTACATCTCAAATATTTTGTAAAGTTTTGAGGAACTAAAAGATATAGTATTTTTTCTAATGATCCACGCTTAGTTAATTATATGTGCTAGTACTACAATTTTACTTTGTACTTACGCTTTATATTTTAAGAAACATATATTAGAATATCTAACTATGTTTTGTAATTCTCCTGATATTAGCATTTATAGTATTACTATCCTAACTAGTATTCTAATAAATAATTTAAATTATACAAAGAGAGAAATAGTTGAAATAAAATATTACAGGGCACACGTGGTTTAATGGGTCGCCCTGGTGCTCCCGGGAAACCAGGAAACCCAGGAGACCGAGGAATTCAAGGTGCTGATGGAAAACCAGGTGAACAAGGTCCAGCTGGATTACAAGGTTTACCTGGTCCAATAGGTCTCCCAGGAGAAAAGGGATATCCGGTATTAATATTTATATTTTTGTTGTTTTTAATATAATAATAATATAAGTATGTGAAATTAATATTTTTACGGAAAATGTACTCATTAAAAGGGTGAACCAGGAAAAGCTGGTGAGCCGGGAAATCCTGGACCACCTGGACCTAGAGGTGATACGGGAAAAGAAGGAGCACCAGGACCTCAAGGTTCACCTGGACCATCAGGTGTAGATGGTGAACGGGGACCTCCAGGATCTCCAGGTCCTAGAGGTTTTCAGGTATATTTTGAACGTTCAATAATATATAATGAACACAGAGTTATATATTCTGAAGTTCATGTATCGGTCATTATTGCTTTATTCGATTCTATTGATAAAAATACGTATAAAATAAAAAAATTTCACGTAGACCTTATCGTTATGATTATATCAGAGAAAATGATTCTAATAGACAAGAACCAATCAGACTTGCATATTCCACTCTTCCCGCTACTCAATTATTCAATAATGAATATTGATTTTGAAAATAATTGCTTTAAATGTAAAACATATTTATAAAATGGGTGTAAAAATAATAAAGGGACAGTATGATTTTATTACATAATTTGATTATGTAATTAGGGTTTCCCAGGCGTTACTGGTAATCCTGGAACACCAGGAAAAGATGGAGAATCAGGTGTTCAAGGACCACCTGGTCCACCAGGTATACCTGGAAATAGAGGTGAACGAGGATTTCCTGGTGAAAGAGGTACACCAGGAGGACCAGGATTAACAGGACCAAGAGGAGAACCAGGTGCACAAGGATTAGATGGACCTCCCGTAAGCATTTTTAGATATTTTACATGTTAATTTTAAATCTATTCAACATAAACTACTAGAAATTACTTTTCGCATAAAATTTAACACATTATTTGTTTATATGATTTTACATAAAGTGTTATATTTTAGGGATTACCTGGAGCAAAAGGAGATCGAGGAATTTCAGGACCACCTGGATTAGTAGGATTGCCTGGCTTACGAGGAGCTACGGGAGAGTCAGGCCCGAAAGGAGAAAGAGGATCTAGCGGACCGCCTGGCCCTGAAGGACCTTCAGGTTGTACATTACAAAAAAATTAACATACTTATTATCTTAAAAAGATATATAATGTACACATATTCTATTATAGGACGGATTGGAGAGCGTGGCCCACAAGGTCAAATTGGCTCACCGGGACCGCCAGGTGAACCAGCAGAACGAGGCGATCCTGGATTACCTGGACCTCCAGGAGAGGTAGGTGCTCCTGGCAATCCAGGAGAAAGAGGACCCCAAGGATTACAAGGACTGCAAGGCTTCCCAGGACCACAAGGACTCATTGGTTTACCAGGATTAAAGGGTGACCGTGGTTATCCAGGTTTAAAAGGAGATCAAGGAAATCCTGGTCTACCTGGTAATAATTAATATGTACTAAATGATATAAAAACATATCAAATTTTACATCTCTTGTAAATATATGCTTCTAACATAAATTTTACAGGTAGCCCAGGTGAAACTGGACCACAAGGTCTAGTTGGTTTGACGGGAGCTAAAGGAGTACGAGGAGAACCAGGTGCTAGAGGAGAGCCTGGTATTATGGGACCACCAGGAGTACCAGGAATCGTTGGTGCAACGGTATGTTTCATTTTATTATCGAAGAATATTGTTTAAATTACTATAAATATTAGAAAATATTTACTTACTAATATATTACATTATTTTGTTACAGACAAAGCATAAAATATTAATGTAATTTAACTAACAATTTTAAATCTCTATAGGGCCCGCCAGGCGCAATAGGACCATCAGGACCGCCTGGGTTACCAGGTAGTAAAGGTAATATTGGAGAAACAGGACGAGCCGGAAATCCTGGGCCTATTGGGAATCCAGGTTCACCTGGTGCAGATGGAAATAAAGGCGAGAGTGGTTCTCAAGGACCACCAGGTACTCCTGGTCCTCAGGGTCCTCAAGGCTCCCCTGGCGAAAGAGGATTACCTGGTTTACCAGGTCCGTCTGGACCAATAGGCGCTAGAGGAATACGAGGAGCACCTGTATGTTCAACTATCTCTTTATCTTGTGAAATTTACCTATATCTACTTATATTAAATTATGAATTGCGAATAATTTATACTTTATTTAATGTAATATAACAGGGTGAATCCGGTGTACCTGGGAAACCTGGACCAGAAGGTCCACCTGGACCTCCTGGACAAGTTGGACCAATTGGACCACATGGACCATCAGGAGAAATTGGACCAGAAGGGCCCAGTGGTAAACCTGGACCACCTGGAATAGCAGGTCGTCCTGGAGATAAGGGACCACCGGGAGCGGTAGGACAAACGGGATTACCCGGATCTCCTGGTTTACCCGTAAGATATAACCATAGTGTATTTTTTTATAAATTACAATAAAAAAATCTTAAATATAAAGTTTTAACAATGCAAAACAGTTATGTATATAGCATGTATGTATCTATATGAGTATCATGTACCCTTTGGTAACTAGGGACCACCTGGTCAAGCAGGTGCTCCAGGATCAACTGGAGAAAGAGGACCAAAGGGCGAAACAGGACCACAAGGTGTAGAAGGACAACAAGTTAGTTTCATCATTCATATTATTTATGTATACATGATACATGATAATAATTTATAAGAGTTGTAATTAGCATTGGTATGTATTTTTATTGTGACTTTAAAATAACTGAAATAAAAAAAGTCAAATAATACCATTTCTACAATTAGGGACCTAGAGGGAAACCAGGACCTGTAGGATTGGAAGGTCCTAAAGGTGATCGCGGAGAAGAAGGCCAGAAGGGTGCGAAAGGCCATCGAGGATTTACTGGTTTACAAGGTTTACCCGGGCCTACTGGTCTACCAGGGGAGAAAGGAATACCTGGACTTCCTGGACTACCTGGAAAAGATGGCGAATCTGGACCTAGAGGTAGTCCTGGACGAGATGGCAGCCCTGGGCCAATTGGATTAACTGGCAATCCAGGACCAAAAGGTCCTTCAGGTGAAGAAGGTCGCCATGGACCACCAGGTCCTCCTGGTCCTCCAGGGCCTCCAGGTCCACCGGGTGAACTTGGATTAGGATATGATGCTGCTTCTTTAGCTGCACTTTTAGGTGATTATTATAATTTTTCTAAACCATGAAATTACTTCATAATTTTATATTATACTCATACAATATTATTAAATATTGTTCCATACCATGGAATTAATCATATTATTATATGAATAGGACAAGGTCAAACTAAAGGACCAGATCCATTAGTTGGTGATGAACCACCTAGAATGTTTAGTCAAGACATGACAGAAGAAGAAAGGAAAGAACTCATTTTGAAGGCATATAAACAATTGAAATCATCATTCCAGAAATTTGTAAAACCAGATGGTGGAAAAAGTTCACCAGCCAAAACTTGCAGGGACCTTTATACTGCATATCCAGATAAACTTTCTGGTCAGTTTATAAATAGACAAATAATGTTTAATACTACAACTATTTTTGTCAGTAATTCATTTTAGGAAATATGAATTTATTTACTGAAAATATTATCCTATCATAGGAGAATATTGGATTGATCCTAACGAAGGTGATACAAGAGATGCAATTTTAGTGTATTGTGATGCTAAGAAACGTGCAACATGTTTATTGCCTAATCCTGTACGTTCCCCAGAAATTAACTATATTACTGATCAACCAGAAACTTGGTTAAGCGAAATAGAAAATGGAATGAAGGTAACAATTTTTTACTGTTGTTGCGTAATAGTATACATCTTCGATATGATGAATCAATTTATTGTTCTATATATTTTTAATACCCATAATATATAGATTACATATAAAGCAGACAGTAATCAAATTGGCTTTTTGCAACTTCTATCGAGACATGCATACCAAAATATAATATATCACTGTAAAAATAGCATAGGCTATTTTGATTCTGAACGAAAGACATATAGAAAAGGTATGAAATTTTTAACCTGGAATGATGTAGAATTAACACCACGTGGAAATCAACGTCTAAGATATGAAATGATAACTGATGAATGTAGAGTAAGTTTCGCATTATTTAAATGATGATTTGTTAACCTCGCAGAATATTTAACATTGAAACATTATAATATTTATGACAATGTCTTTACAGACATATAATGGACAATGGGGTAAAACAGTAATTTCATATGAAACTGATAAGCCTGTAAGACTACCTATAATAGATGTGGCCTTACGAGATATTGGAAAACCAGATCAAAGCTTTTCTATTGAAATCGGTACTGTTTGTTATGAATAATAAATTGAAATTAATAAATACATTTTTATATTATCATTACATAATTAAAATATTTTCTTTACTCAAACATTTCCATGTATATGTACATATATAGTATATGAAAATTTGAATTTTTTAACAGTTCAAATATTATAGTATGTGTATTAGTTATTAGTTTTTTTATTTTTTAATTAATGACATAAATAAAATATTATTATAATTTGTATATATTGACATAGATATAACTTCATATACTAAATATGTCAATAGTCACTCAATAATTTAGATGTTTAAAATAATTAGTCCTAGGTAATATATATATATCGCCTTTTTTTACATATTTACAAAACTATTTTACATATTAGTCTTGATGACAAATTAAAATACTGCTACATTTTCATGAAATAAAATAATGTGAATAATTAATGATTGAAAACATAAATTTAATTAAATTTTTTCTATAAAAGCCTGAAAATTATAACGTATCTTTTTAATAAAAATTTTTATCTTCTAAAGTTTATATGTTATATTAGTGTTGCAATCATTATTTTAACTCTTTTTTATAAGACGTTTTATATTAGCTTAAACTTTTTACATGTATTTTGTACTATTAAAATTAAATACTACCTATTGCTTTCATATATTTTAAAATTATTAAAATATCATCTAATCTTAATTTTTGTGGATTTATAAATCAATTTACAAAATAATTTATATTCAACGTGATCGTACATCAAAATAATACAATCTTAAGTAATATTATTTCCCAAATCCTAGTATTTAAAGAAATCATACGTTATTATGAACTGAGCTACGCTGACATATGTGTATATAAAAGTTGATTTAACTAATTATAAAATATTCATGAATATGGAAAAATTAAAAAAAAGTTATTAAAGCCTAATAAATTATTTTCTTAAATTGATTTACTCATTTTTATATAACTTTCTGTAATTTTAAAAGCAGTCCCTTTTTCTATAATCCTTTATATTTAATAATAATTGTGTTACATAAATACACTAAATATGCATGTATTCAATTAAATTTCTCACAAATTATATTTAAAAAATTTGTAGAATTTCATTTACATATTTCTTCTAAGTACAAATAAGGCATGTTGCGATTACTTATAATTGATAAAAATAATATTCCAAAATAAATATGTAGATATTACCAGATATTACATATCGTGCTAGAATAGTTGATATTAATTTTATATTTTTTGTTTTATAATTTTATGAAAATAATATCTATCAATGTTAATATTAATTAAAGCTATTTCATACGTACAAATAGAAGGATAATAGTGTGAAATTTCAGTCAGGAAATAGTTATTCTTATCCATTACGTGTAATTCATTCATCTATGCAGAGAATACATTATACATACACATACATTCAACAGGTGACTGTGGTAGGAGAAAAGAAGCGCGAATTGGGGACTAAAAAAAGGTAGCGTCTCGCCGTTCAGTAAGAATTAGTGACGACGACGGGAGTAACTGACTGTCTTTCAGTCACGTAGTCACGTTTGCCATGGCGTATGTGTAACAGTTCCTTTGATCGGCGTGTAGTGTTGCGTTTCATTGTGATTTAACAATATTAGTAAAATAAATATTACAATTCTTTATACAAGGTTTATTATGTGTGTATGGGAATAAATTAAACGGAAAGCAATTTTTTATTTTAATATGAAAAATCGTATCGACAAAGAGTAACATAGTTTTGTGAATATTGATCGACAAATTGGCGGGATATTATTGTGCGTTTTACGATCTTAGAAAAGATACGACTGAAATAGGTTAGTCTCATTGTGCCATCATGCAATAAATGAAACGCGTGATGTATGTAAGTTGATGATACTCGTGATTTACACTAGTTGTAAGTGCAATTATTTATTTTGTTATTTGATGTTAATATTTATTTGAATTTTATTATTATTTGAATATATTGAATATTAAGGATATAATGAAAATATGAATTTTTAAATATATTTTAATATACTAGAATGTTAAAAATTATATTCTACTTTAATTCTAATTCAATATTTACACAAAATTACATTTTTATCAATTAATCAACATATAATATCGACTTGTTTTAAAATTCGAAATATTTAACAAATTTTTTAATTATAGCATATTGTAATTATAATTATATTTATTGTACCATCCGTACATTATTCAATGTTTTTGGAATATATAATATATCTACAATGTACATACAATCCCATAATCCTATTCCAACAAAGTACATAAATATGATGCAATACAGAAACAGAACAATATGCGAACAGAATAATATATATATTGTTCAGATAATCGTATGCTGCCCTTCTTAATTATTAGACTAATGCACTATGTGGCATCGTGCGAAATAAAAATATAGAGATAGATTCGTTAGATTAGATAGATATATTAGTCAAGAATAAAATTGGAAAATACATATTAGAAAATAATAACTTGTAACATTAAAAAAATTTGAATTCCAATTCAAACAACTAGTTAATCTTATGTGACGTAAAAAAGTAAAATTTTTACGAACTTGTAATTTCATAAGATTTCGTTTAAAATTGAGTTACAATAATGTCATATGTTAGTTTAATTAGTTTTTAATTTCAGCTTTTAAAGCTATTAAATTTCACTTTCGTGTATTGCTCATAGCTTTCTTTTTTAATTAACATGCAATATTCTTACATTTAAAGGATCAGTAGATAATAATACAATAATATAATCTATTATAGTATCCGATGAATTTCTAGTAAATGTTTCAGTTTCTTATATATTTAGTTAAATAACTTTATCAAATGCTTGAAAGTACACATTTAATGTAAATGTATATATATATATAATATGACAATTACAACATTAATGTCATATAATTCACTGAATTCAAGCGATATTAACTTTATCAATAGTATAAAAATAATAAAATATATGTACATTGTAGATTATCTTCGTGTCAATCTTGCTAATCAGATTACATACAGATATACGTATTTGGCGGCGTATTTAAATATTCTCTGCGTTTTTTTTCAAACTTAGTTTCTCTACATATAATATGTAATATTACATAACTCCGAGTAATTCCATTATGATTAAATATAGAATTCAGATGTAGTGATAGTGGTGTTTTTTTTCAGCATCTCCGTGAAAACGTATGATTTCGAAGTCCAGAAGAAGAATGAAAAGAATCGCTATTACTAATATCTGACATTTGCGTGAACATGATGTAATGCAAGTGAACCAATAGTTTACAAAGTTGATTAAATCCTGATGATATCCTCTAGAGTAACTTGACGCGAAAATTTCTTGCCTGCTATTACAAAATTGTTATTGATAGCGATTAAAAGCATTATCAATAACCGTCAATTTCAAATATAGATACGGTTTATAATTTAAATAATTCAAAACATCGTGCTGTCGTTCGTATACCAGTGACCAATTCTACAAACAAAATGGGTCTATTCCGGAAGGTTAATGGTAAGTACTTTGCAATCTTAAAATTCTTAAGAATCTAAAACTCTTCAAATTTCACAGTCTTGTACATTGCAAATGTTTATTCGTATTTCTTGTTATTCTCTTGCCGATTTAATTTTTCATGGATTTTTTAATAAGATTAATCAATTTATTTTCGTATTTACATAATAAACAATTAATTGTATATGTATATATATACATATTACATAAAGTTTATATACAGGGTGCTCACGCTATTAGTTCGCAGCGATAAACGATAAATATGAGAAAAAAACGAAAGGAA